CATGTACTTCCGAAAAGCGGCAAATTTCTTTGAGAAGTAAGTACAAAACCTTTGATGCCGCATTATCAAAGTGCCGATGGTTAAAACATAACTATGCATGCACTCAGTTTGATTTTAATATTTTTTTTATTCGCTATGTTTATGGTATTAGTCGTAATGCGCATAGGTCCAGTTTTTCATATTCTTTGATACAGTTTTTTGCGTCTCATAGAATTCCTAAGCGTACCTACCTATACACCGAACTGTTACACCTAACTACTCAGTGAAATAGCGCTAAGTCCTAGCTGCAAGACGCAAGAGTCTTGCAGGCTATGTCTTGTTCTTGCTCAAGTCTTGCACGGTCAGTCTTGGTCTTGGTCTTGCTAAAAATACGCGGTCTTGTTCTTGGTCTTGGTCTTGCAAAAACGCAAGAACAAGACCAAGACTGCAAGACCAAGACTGAATTTGGGCAACACTACACACAATATCAACCACATTTTTTAAATACCATGATGATGATGATGTTCTCCTGACCGATTCCGGCCACGGCGGCCAATCTCATTGAGACTAGCCAACTGCGCAGGAGATATTATAGTGCTCAAGTGTACGCGCAGACACAAGTGCACTCTCTATTCCTGTCACTCTCATACTCCGATGGGACGACTACTCGACACGACCGGTGAGAGATAAGGCGCAGGACCGACAGCTTTACGTGCTCTCCGAGGCACGGGGGTGAAACACCGCCAACTTCCCAACTCCGGGCTATTACTGAGTCTTTCTATACAGAAGGACTCAATAACTATACTTGGCCCGACCCGGGACTCGAACCCAGGACCTCCAGGTGTGCAGCCGTACATGCTAGCCGCTACACCACCGAGGCAGTACCATATAGGTATTTCCATATAGGTAGACAAACGATTTACGCGGATTTTGTTCGCAATTTCATGGATATTATTTTTTTTGCACCGAACCCTAATTATTTAAAAAAATAAAATTAGCCGAGTTTAAGCGATTACTAGGGTGCGCCGGCGTTCGACAGAAGCGCGCCCAGTTTGTTTAATATGCTCAACCATATAATGTCTCAACTTACATTGGCAGCGTCTTTTCTGAAATTATCAATTTTTGAGTTTGTTGCGTCCATATAAACTTTCAATCATCATTGTTTTACAAACTACATATAATATAATTAAACAAAGTTTCAGCCAAATCAACTCAACAGTATTTTATATATAGCATTATTGAAATTATACTTCTTTTTCTATGCGATGCGACAGATTTGGACTACAGTATGAAGTTAGTGATTATTGACTACAGTGTGAGGTTATTTAATTTTTTATTTTATTTCTATATACACAACACGTTTGTTATATCGATAAATATAAAAAATATTACAAGCTTTTATTTAGTTTCACCTGTCTCAGTGTCTGTAATCAAATCTTACAAGTTAAATTTGACCCACTTCCAATTGTCCGATTGAGCTGAAATTTGGAACACACGTTTGTCTGTCGTGATTGCATGATTTCCAAATTGCTACCATGTTTAATCCAATACGACAGACGGACGTTACAAAATGGCGATTTATTATTTTCATAGTGACCCACCCATATGATATGGGTATCAAATGCAAGGGCTTTAAAATTTAATATGGCGGACTGTTTATTTTGCACCCCCAAGATATTAGATCAGGGTCGATAATTTTAAAACAAAAAAAAAATAGTAGAATGAAACCTATTGGAAAAGGAAGAGAATATAAAAAAAATGAAAGGAAAAATAATTAACGGGCGATCTAAGGTCGAGAAGTTGGAGGGGGTGAGTTTTTTAAGGGTAAAAAACGGTTTATCTCGATTTTCGGCAAAACTACAAATCAAAGTCAAATGGCAAAGTTGTAGGTAATAAAAAGATCTACAACGATGTATTTACACTTTTTTCCCATAACCTAAATATTTATGAGAAAAATTCAAGTTTTTGGTTTTTTATTTTTATCTTTTACAAAAAAAATTATTCACGAAATTCGGTGAAAACTTACCTTTTTATGTCCCTAATATACAGTTATTTTTTTATTTAAAATATTTATTTTTTCACCTTATTTTGGCTTAATATCAAAAAAGCACCCTAATTTTCAATCGAAAATTCTCGCAACAAAATATCTGCTTTTTAAAAAAAAGTCGGTGGGATTTTTGTTCGTTGAAATCTTCACTTTCTAATGATGTAAAAAAAACTACATTACTATGCTAAATTTTTTCAGAAAATGCAATTAATAAAGTTAATATTTAATAAGACATCTACAATATTTTGAGAAAGTTGTAGAATCTTCTTTAAATTATATGCGTAGATGCCAATTTATTGCTATTTTAAGATAACTTATATATACGTGAGTGACCCACGGACAATTTTAGCCCATCAAAAGATATTTTTTAGAGAAGTGGGGAAGGGGCTAGGAGGGTCTGGCCTATACTTTTTGCATTAAGGTTATGTGAAAAAAGTGTAAATACAAAAGGTGTAGATCTTTTTATTACCTACAACTTTTTTATTTAACTTTTTTCCATAGGACTTGTGGTTTTGCCGGAAATCGAAATAAACCGTTTTTACCCTTAAAAACTCACCTCTTCCCACTTCCCGACATCAGATCGCCCGTGAATTATTTTTCCTTTCATTTTCGTTATATCTCTTCCTTTTCCAATGGGATTCATCCTACTATTTTTTTTTCACTTTCTACCATTTTCAAAGGCTTCAGCCCTGGTCTATATGGATATTAAGTGAAAGGGTTTGCTGAGAAGAATACGAAAAAGAAGTAAAAAAACATTAAAAAAAGTTAAAACATTTCAAAAAACAAGTTTTTATTTAAATGCTCTAAAAAAACAAAGAAGTATAACTTCTTGCGTGCGTAAATAAGTATACACAACTTTTTTTCCAATAAATGTTTAATGTGTTTTTTTATTAAATTGACATAATATTTTTATTTATGAACCGATTTGAATAAAAGAAAAACTAAATGTTAAGTGCTTACCATAAAATACATTCGTGAAAACTGCATAAAAATCGCTTAAGCCGTTTCTGAGATTAGCACGCACAAACGCACAGACAAACAGACAAAAATTCTAAAAATCATTGTTTTGGGTTCTATCGCGTTAATAAAAACCCCCAATAATAGTTTTTCTCAAATATCTCCCATGTACAGACAGCGATCAGTTACAATTTATTATATGTATAGATATGGGCATTGATTATTTTATGATATGTTAATATTTTATGTCTATTGTATGTGTATATTGTATGGAAGAGATCGCTGTTTTAGCGATAAGCCTCTTGTACATAACTCTTTTTATATATTTCTTGTAATTTTTTTCTTTTTTCTCTTGTGGGTGTACAATAAAGAGTATTTATTATTATTATTATTATGTCAAATACGAGCTCGCAGGCCAGTACACAAACGCTAGACTAGATTCGATAATCTCCGTAAGTCGTTGGCGCGGCAGCGAGTGGCTGGCGAGCGTGGAGCTCACCGGTCGCTTGCTGCTCTAGCGTATTGTATGAATACAAGTTGACCGGGCGCGCAGCGTAATTTTTTTATAAGTTAACACATAATATATTGTAAAGTAATTCGTAACACTCGTAACCTGACTCAAACATAACTTTATCGACCATTTCGAGACATACACGCCCCGCCCCTACCTGGGTACGCCCATGCATCTATACTAATATTAAAAAGAGGTCAAGTTTGTGAGATTGTAGGGGGTAATCTCTGGATCTACTAAACCGATTTAAATGAAACTTGGTAAGAAGATAGTTTCGAGACCCTGGGAAGTATATACTTACTACTTATATACTTTATATCCCTGAAATCATCAGTTAAGGGGGAGAAAATGGGGATGAAAGTTTGTATGGGGAATTAAGCTAGGGACGAACCCGATCCCCCCCAACGTGCGTTCACCTTGTCGTGGTGGGAGGGTTCAGTAGTGCCCGGCAATCCAACCGGGCGCGAAGCCAAGAAACGCACAGGGAGGTTGCCCACTTCGGTGGGCGGTGGGAGGTGGCCCTCTTCGGGGGGCGGTGTACCATGCGGGTTGCTCCTGGTACTTCTCTGATAGCAGAGTGGACTGTGGAGCAAACCCATGGTTGTGGTGATCTGCTTTGGCGGACCTGCCGTCGGGGCGTCGTAGTTGAATGCGTAAGCGATCCTGCGACGCCCCATTAAGACGGGGGAAGGTTTTGTTGGGTTTTAGTGGGTAGTACTGGCTGTATTACGCCGGTGAGTCCCACACGTCGTGCATAAATGCATTTCCCAACGTTAAAAAAAAAGGGACGAACCCGATCGAAGCGAAGGTGAGTCGCTAGTACTGTATAATAATATACATAATGTTTCTAAATAATCCTTTTCAATTCGTATTTTTTATTATGTAGATATAGAGTTTTTTAATTCGAGTGTGATATTTTACGGGATATTATATAGGGATCAAAATATTTAAGGCTTTATCGTTTAATAAAATCACACAAAAAGTGCATATACATTTTGGCTAATATTTGTAATATAGAATGTTGTACTTAAAAAGAATGATGTAGACGGAACCTGCCAAAAACTCTGTCGGTCGGACGTTTAGTTGGAGACAATGTATGTACAAGTACATACACGTAGCAAGACTAATAGCAAGTACATAAATGTAAAACATGTAAATCGGTTAAGCCATTTAGTAATTATGAGGGAACATAGGATTGGAAATACATACATAAATACAGGTCAAACACATAACACCTCTTTGGGCATCGCCGGCGTCGGGTAAAAAAGTTTTTATTAAATATTTAACATTATTATTATATTGTTACATTAATAAATTGTTTTCGAAATAATATTTCTAAAAACTGTTGATATTCATATAGCTTCTGTTATATTATTATTACCCGACACTTCAAGCATCCCTTTATTTTTTATATGTACAACTTTTAACCCATTAGATTTTTAGTATTAACAAGGATAAAATACTATATATTATGTAGATATTTTTATACACATTTCCATTTTTCAGGTGGTTGTGCTGCTGTATATTGCCATATGTGACAAAACGATGGAAGAATGTGGAACACTATTGTCCTAACTGTCATCGATATTTGGGCGTTTATACCAGGAAATCTATATTCTAAATAGATTATGCACTAAGAACCCTGAAGAAAAAATGAAATATAATCTTATATTTCGATAGGTGGATTATGTTCGTGTTGTTGAACAGTGCAGCGTATAGTGGAACTAAATACAATTTTGCACACTTTTTTAAGTTTAGTTAAAACTATATTAGCCGTAGTTTATTTCGTAAGTCCTTTTGCTTGTATGATAGAGCCATTATATACGAATATTCATTTTATTTTAAAACAAAAATAAATGTATCCCTCGGGAATCGTATATTTTTCCGCGATAAAAAGTAGCCTATATGTTATTCCAAACTATAATCTATCTCTGTGCCAAATTTAATTCATATCCATTCAGCCGTTCTGGCGTGAAAGAGTAAAAAACATCCATACACACTCACAAACTTTCACATTTATAATATTTATATTATATTGTAAGTTTATTTATTATTTATTATACATATACTTTATAAAAGACCACCCCTCGCCCCTCCCTCCAAATGAAAATGTGGAGTTTAATTTAACATATTTTTTACCTTTTTCATTATCAGGACTTTTATTTAACAAATATTATTTTGAAATTTGACATTTTGCTTAGGCTTAGAATGGGCCTTTTTTGTTCTACAACTATTCATTTGGTAGTTTTATCTGGAAAGTTTTCCGGGAGTTTTGAAAATTGATGATTTTATAGATTTCGACGGGCTCTTTCCGAATTTCTACTATGCTACTTCTATCTTTGCCGCTCGCGCTGCCATATTGAAAAAATGGCGCCTTAACAGTTTTTTGACAATATCTCCTTCCCTAATCATTTAGCGATAAAAATAGTTAAGTAATTAATGAAACTAGAGAAAAATTCTTATAATTTATGTTCTAACCTTTTTTTTGTAAAATAAATAGTTTTAGCATACGAACCGTCGAACGTTGCAAAGTCGACTCAACACGTGTTTTGGAAAAAAAACTCATTTCCACACCACCATGTTAGGTAGATTAAGCGGCGCGTTTTTTTATCATGGCGTCTCTAATCTATTTTTTGAGCACCAAATGACTGTATAAATTAGAATTTAAAATATTGAGAATTAGAAAACCAAATCTAATGAAAATTATTCTTGTAAAAAGAGAATCTATTATCCATTAAGCTCACAGTTCAGCTAAAATAATATCGGCACGTCGCTCTTACATATAATTTTATAGTTACGCAGGTACTGCTTGATATCTAATTATTATCTGTGTAAAATCCAAATATTTAAAATATTAAAAGTGACTGGAATCCTTTATAGGCGCGGTGTGCGCGCGGCCATTTTTGCAGGAATTGACCTGCACATTGACTTGGGAACCAATTTACAAATTGTTTAGTTTAGAGAGAAAATAATAAAACTGTTAAAAATAAGACTTTATTATAAAACTAAATTATAAAAAGAAGAATATAATTATGCATAAATATTTTGACACAAATAACAGAAAAGTTTATCACAGAACAGTTAAAATAGTATTTACATAAGTTATTTAGCACATGTAGCATTAAATTACAATTTTGTACTAAGCAAATTTTATGCGTACAATTCATTCAAATAAATTGTTAAAATTAATGTATAAATATGATTTTTTATTGTATACTTATGCTCCATTTTTCAAATTAGTTTAGATCACGACAATGATGGCGAGATAAGTATTGACTAACCCTGTTTTTTTTCTAAATCTATATAGTTTTTAATTCTTGCATTTGTTAAGTAAATAAAGGAAAAAATACCTACATAATATTTTCAAGGAAATCCATGTTTCACCTTCAGACTATAAATACAAAACAGTATATTACTAATTTAAAAATAACATTTCCTTACTGCCTGAATGATTCATTAACACCCAGACTGACACTATTCCTTAAAATAATAACTACTAAAGAGATTTTTTTGAGATACACATAACCTATAAAGAATGAGTAACAAGGGGCGCAAAAAAATAAAATGGAATATAGTGTTTTCCTCACCGAGTTTACCTCAAACCTGGTGACAACGACCAGGACGCCCAATAGTGGTCGTTGCCTGGTGATAATGTCCTCCTACTACACTATACAATAAAATCAGAGACCCAGATGAATCTGGGACTGGTTGATTTTCACTACTACTGACTTGCTGCTATACTTACGAATTATTTGTGTATAAAATTCATTTATTTCATTTTATACTTGCATTTTTGCATTTTTACTAAAAATATATACTTATTAACATACGACTGCTCGGCGTTGGCCTTCGTTTTAGGTGAGGAAGATCAGGCCACCACGCTGGCCAAATGCGGGTTGGCGGACTTCACATGTCTTTGGGTTTGCTAGGTTCTCTCAGACATGCAGGTTTCCTCACGATGTTTTCCTTCACCACAAGCCGAGTGTTATTCATATTAAAAATGATTCGCACATATGAATATCAGAGATTTAGACCCCAGATTTTAACCAGGTTCACTTGGTTTTCCAAGCGCTATTGGGCTATAACTGCCTCACGAATAATGTTAGCAGTTCTTCATTTTCTTGTATCGCATAAAAAATAATACACCTTTAATGGATCAATTCTAGGTTATGAAGTATAGCTTAAACCTAATTAGTATTCAGATCACAGACATAGGTGTTAAGAGTTAAGACTGTAGATGAGAACCTATGAAAGCGGAACATTGTGGACAGTAATGGTTTGCAGTTTTGCATGACTTCATACAGTAAGGCACGAAGCATCCACAACAGCACCTGAAAGAAAAAAAATACATCCTTATTTAGTTAAACTATTTACTTATTTCATAATTTTAATAAAGAAGTTAAAAAATAAAAAAGTAAATGGGTATTAAATTCTTACGTATTTCTTTTAAATATTGTAAGTTATGGGAGAAACTATAATAGGTACTACAAATATATTTTTTCAATATTTTTTTTTTAAACGATTGCACAACTAGATCATAACGAATGAACATAGTAGCTTACCTACAAAGTACAAATATAATAATTTAATATAATGCAATTGTTCGATTAAAATGAGTGAGTAATTGCGTAGTTATTTTTAATTTGCCATTTCCTGTCACTGATGTACCAATCGCTTGATAAAGTTTACTCTCAGTCATGATATTATACATTAAAGCTATTTACCGTCACTTTGCTTGGGTGCCTCCCTAGGAAACTACAGATCACAGACTATTTATATACTTTCCATCATAATCCGTTCAGGCGTTTGACGTGAAGGAATGACGAACACGTACACACATAAATACATATACAAAATGTTTGTGTATATGTATTTATGTGGGTACGGGCACGCACACACTTATTTGTGTGTTTCTGTGTGTGTGAGTATGTATGTGTTTTCTTTCGTATTTATTATAGTAGTTTAATAAAAATTAATTAGTAATATAAAAAATACTTGCCCTGCGATTACGCAAAGAGCTGCAGATATGATATGCGTTCTGTTATTGGATACGTAATCGACTCTTGTTACTATTGACTTGCTGCACGTAGGGCACATGGTTCCTGTGGGCCCTGGGCCTAGTTTTATGGGGGCCGAGGGATTTCCTGGAGTCGAAGTGACCACAACTGTGCGGGGAGGGGCTACAGGTGCAGACGGTTGGTCCGCAAAGTATGACGGCGGTGGAGCTGGATTGGGTGGCACCTGTTCATACGGAGGTGGTAGGCCTAACTTGTTTTCCACTGGAAATAAAATATCAAATATTAAATAAGGAGGAATGTATTAAAAAAAATTTAGGTATACATTTACTATTGTTGCATAAAACAACTTGAGATGTGGTGAATTTTATTTATTTGTCCCTTTTTCCTACACTTTTTCGATATATTTATATATACAGATGTGACATATTCTATAGGTACAGAATCTTTTTGCCAGATGAACCTGCTCCGAAGAGCCTTAAACCAAGTTTCAACTTTCAACTAGATAAGGACAATTCCCCTACGTTAAATATAAAAGTCTACTCCATATGGCAATCTATCTCGCGATATCCGCCATAGGAAACGAAGTTAAACCTATATTTTTAAGTGAAAGTTTCATGAATTTATATTTTATTGCTTATTTACTTTGGTGTTCAAGTTCGAGGCAAGATTCACATAATCTTTGATGAAAACTACCATATACTACATATGGTAGTTTTTGATAGTAGATAGATACCTATTCGTTATCTCTTGTCAACAACTATTTCTATCTAGAGTTCGCGGTTATCACGAACTACGTGTCGGCATATTATTTCATAGGTTTTGATTTTGCGATAAATCAAAAAAAGAATCAACTTTAAAATGTACCAACCGTCTAGTACCTACTGTTACCTTAAAAAATATAAATTACTAGAGACTCATCCTCGCTGCGCGAGGGTTCGTCCCTAGTTACGTTTAGTACATATTTCTCAGAAATTAGATATTTTAACGCAAAAAAATATATATCCTATTTGTTGACTCTGATAACCAGCTATCATAATATCAAACTTCATCAAAATCTGTCCAGTAATTTTCTCGTGATGCGCTCCCAGACAGGCAGACAAAAATTCTAAAAACTATAGATTTGACCTCTATATCTATAATAATGACTATTTCAATGAGATTTTCCAAAAAATATTCAATGTACAGATTTGGTTCAGTTAGAATTTTATTTTAAGTATAGAGGATATTTGTCTATTTTTGATCGAATTCAAACATTGAGGTTCTCAATTCGAATGTATGATTTTTGATTTTGCGTATAGACTGGGTATGTTGCGAATCAGTATTAATTCTATTTCAATAGATCAATAAATTAAGTATTAAAGGTCCCTGGTACTGGTAAATATTAAGAAAAAACATCACAACCCACTAGAGGGGTTGAGTAATAATCGTAGAAAGGCTATTTTTCAAGTCGAATTACTTTTTATGTAAAAACTCATTAAACAAATAAAATCTATGTATTTTTGTACTATCAGCTAAATTATAATCTTTTATTGCGTGTGTTATAACAATATCATTATCATCTCCAGTGTCTGTTATAAAACATTATTATCGGTTACGAAATTTGTGTGCACAGCGCATTACGACTAGCTATAGACTATATTATGTAACTAGCATATTATAAAACGATTACTTTAATAAGGCATTTTGCCATTTTTTTCATCCTTATTAGAGACTAAGATAACAGTTTTGTCCATTACCTATTAGCTCGCGCAGAAAATATGTTGCCATGATAGCCAATTCAACTTTATTTCTCTCTACTATTGATAATTGATATATATTTACTTAGGTAACCACATTATATATATATATACTAGCGGACCCGACAGACGTTGTCCTGTCTACACGTCTTTAATTTGAAAATTTCAAACTTTTTTTAATAATTTTTTTGATGAAAATTATTATTCAAATTGTGAATCTAAACCATTCCCAGATCCCCTTGAACACACACAAAAAATTTCATCAAAATTGGTCCAGTCGTTTAGGAGGAGTTCAGTCACATACACACGCACACAAGAAATATATATATATTATATATATATATATATATCTTTATATATATAATTCTTCTGTGAGTGTGTATGTCACTGAACTTCTCTCAAACGACTGGACCGATTTTGATGAAATTTTTTGTGTGTGTTCAAGGGGATCTGGGAATGGTTTAGATTCACAATTTGAATAATAATTTTCAACCAAAAAAATTATTAAAAAAAGTTTGAAATTTTCAAATTAAAGACGTGTAGACAGGACAACGTCTGTCGGGTCCGCTAGTATATATATATATATATATATATATATATATATATATATATATATATATATATATATATATATATATCCTATATCTTTAAACGAGCAATTCTTGTATATATATATATATATAAATATGTATATAATCTGATCTGAATCTCGGAAGCGATAAATCGATCTAGATTAGGCTTATGTCTGAGAAAACGCGTGTTTTCGAGTTTTCATGCAGTTTTCTTTTGCATTATTCCACGCAAAATATGGTCGGTAATTTGCACGCTCTGGTGTAAGCATCGTGGTCAAGTGGCCAAGGTGCAAGATGAACAATCACAGGTGTCTAGGTTTGAATCTAGGTCGCATACAATTCATTTAAGTTTTTAGTTTAAAAAAAAAGAAAATCGTATCTCAGGCCAAAAACTCCGAGTGAAGCTCGGTAGCCCAGGTACTATATATATATATATATATATATATATATATATATATATATATATATATATATGTAGGATCTGTAAGATGAGTATGCATGAAATGATATTTTAAGAATAAAAGGAGACGTATGTTAGAATTTTAAGAATGGAATGGAATGAAATAGATGAATAAAAGAAGATGAAGAAAAGACGTGAAAGACGTGAGATGGAAACCGAGGAGTTTCATGAGGCGAGGTCTCATCCGCCACACATGCTTTAGATGACGGCTGAATTAGTGGCTAATTTTAGTGGTGAAGACGATGCCTACTCCATTGAAAAATGGATAGATGAAGTGGAGTCAAATGCCGAAATTTTTGAGTGGTCTCCGCTACAAAAACTTCTCATAGCGCGAAGATCGCTTACCGGGACGGCGGCACTCTGGCTGAAGACTGAGCGACCATATAAAAGTTGGGACGATCTTAAAGCCGCGTTAATTAAGGAATTTCCGGACCAGCTAGATGCGAAAGCAATACACGAGATTATGAGCGCGAGAAGAAAACGACAGGATGAAAGCTGCATAAATTATATGTTTGTGATGAAGGAACTAGGTAACAGAGGAAAATTGGAAGATGGTGTCGTAATAAAATATATAATTGAAGGAATAAGTGACAAAGAAATAAATAAAATGATGTTATACGGCGTAAATACTTATAGTGAATTGAAAGAGAAATTGAAAATTTACGAAACAATTAGTAGTAAAATGAAAGAAGTGAAAAGAAACAAACATTTTACATGTATTCGAAGAACTCGATGTTATAATTGTGGTGAAATGGGTCATGTATCTTTGCAGTGCCCACATAAAAACAAGGGGCTTAAATGTTTTAAATGCAATGCATTCGGTCACATTAGTTTTACATGTAATAGAAACGAATATGGATCGGCAGTTAACGTATGTAATCGCACATTTTTGGGTAACTCTGACAACAGAATGACAAAACATGTCATGTTCACAGCTTCTCAAGGAGATGCGATTACAGTTTTAAAATGTCCTAGTATATTAAACGAAAAATTGAAAAATCGAAATAAAATATTAGCAAAAACCTACGCCATTAACAACTTAAAGGAGAAAAATGTTGAATACAAGAGTGACATATCTGTCAGTAGTGAGATAATGCCAGTTAAAGTAAATAAACAAATAATTTCACAAAAGCCAATGATCAAAACAACTTTTAAAAAAAATAAGAAAACAAGAAGCCTCAAAAGAATAGAGATTGGCACTGGGCATAAAGTAAAACCAAGATGTGTCGGCCCTTATGAAATAATCAAATTAAAAGATAACAATCGATATGATGCACAAAATATAGACGTTAACATATATGGATCTATGGTGGAGGATTCAACAGCGGCTCTTCAAATAAAAAAGTGGCCTATTCAAAACAGGTGACATAGTTGAAGAACTTGTGTTCGTTGTTATTAGTCCTTACTACTGTAATATTCAATAGATAGTGTTCATTATTTTTCAGAGGTATTTTTAAATTAATGTTTTTACTTTTTTATTTTACACTTACATGAACTGGAGGATAAATTATATACGTGGTAAGAAATGCGACATTGGCGAAGTAAATTGTGCCCAAAGGCACTCCTAGAAGCCACAAACCTAAAGAATTGAATTGAATTACGTGGTAAGAATAGTTTGTAGGTTTATTGGTGTTTTCTTTATTTATCTATACTGTTACTATTATAATGTTAGGTTCATAGAAGTATTCACTTAATTCGATAATTGTAATAGCTTTACGTAGATATTTAGTGTATGTCTGAGGGCAGACATGGATGCAGGATGGCCGAGTGTAGGATCTGTAAGAGGAGTATGCATGAAATGATATTTTAAGAATAAAAGGAGACGTATGTTAGAATTTTAAGAATGGAATGGAATGAAATAGATGAATAAAAGGAAAGAAAAATGTTGTGTCATAATGACGACACGACGATACGCGTAAACATTGTTTTATAATATTTTAGAAGAATAAATAGTAATTAGTGGTTTAAACGCTTTTATTGATATCCCCGGATCCTACATATATATATATATATATATATATATATATATATATATATATATATATATATATATATATATATATATATATATATCGTTATATATATATATATATATATATATATATATATATACGATCGTATCAATTTTTTAGTTTTGCTACCCACTTAGTGATGTATAAATCTATACAGATAAATAAAAGTGTGTTTGTAATGTCAACATAGCAGCTTTTTACTTAATGTATATGACGTTATACATACGGTACTTACAAGAAAAATACATTTTTTTTTAATTTTTTGTCTGTCCGTTTGTTCCGGCTAATCTCCGAAACGGCTGGACTGACTTTGAAAGTGATTTCCACTGGCAGATATCTGATATTATAAGGAGTAAATTAGGCCACTTTTATTTTAGAAAAAGAATTAGAGTTCCACTCAAAAAAATTAAAACGTACCTAGTGATGCACCAGAGCGAAGTGAGGGTAGGTCGCTACGGTAGTAGTAATATAAATAATTTATTATTTGTTGAACAGACACACAGGAGTATTCGGTACGGAGCGGATCAAGCTCAGTGATGATTATATTGACAGTCAGCTCTATACATGGGGATTTTGTAATGCACTATAATGAACTACAAAGCATACCATATTCGGTGTCCGACTCGAAAAAGATTTTTCCTGTGTTAGCAAAAAATACTTAAATTATATTCGTTCCAAACAATCATTTAATTTATTTCCTCTAATAAGCTTTAACTTTATTAACGACTCAAAAAATTTAATAATACCCACATGCTCGTGAGTAGCATATGACTACAGACTATGCAAAATATTGGATGGAACATGATTGTTATTCATTTTTCCATATAAATATTACCCAAATTTTTGCCCTAAATAATAGTTATTTCTATTTATGAATTGTGCCGCCGTGTTGTGTTGAAAGAGCGATTAAAACTTGCACGAATTATTCAGGGCGTATCTAAGTCAAGGTTTATGAAAACAGAACGTTAAGCCAACTTAATTTATTAATGCTAATGGTTTTTTTTATTGCAATTGATATATTCAATGCAACGTCATAACTGCTGACTGCATGCGTCTTTATAGGCAGGTGTATAGAAGTTCAACGCATATATTGAAATGAATTACGTACCTATATATCAAGTTATAACGATTATATTAGCAGAACCTGTTACATAAATATCCGCGTAGTAATTACTTTTTAATGTGAGAAATAGAGAAAAGTGTTTTATTCCATTATTTCTTAATGCTTTTTTATTTAAAAGCGGTTAGAAACATTCCTCTAAATACCGTTGGATTTTGTTGATTAAATGACCTTATCACTTCTAATTTTCAAACGGGGTTATATGTTAAGATAACATCCTGTTTATAATATGTATAATATTAATTTGTTTATATCACAGTAAAGTCACAGTACGGGCATCGCAAATTCTATAAAATATACTCGTATTATGGACATTATGTTAGAGCTACAATTTTTTTTACTATTTAGCACCGTTAAAAATAACCTGTTACATATGATTAATTGTTAGTTTAATGTGGGGAAACATAAAAAAGGTATGTAATACATGGAAATGTATATACATGGAAAAATACAAGGTAAGATTAAAACACGAAAATTAAATTAATTTTTACTTACTTGTAGCGTCCATTGTGTAAAAACTTAACCTTTGGTCCGATTTCTTAATAATTTAGAGCTGACGCACGCAAATTATTCCAAGAGTCTTTGCCTGTGACTGTATGTTTCAACTGAACTGAACTGAACTTGATTTTATCATCAGTAGCACATATCATAGAATATTATACACGTATGATTTTGGTATTCTTAGGTACCTAAAGATTTTATACAATGCTACGCTTGTGGAAAACTTGTTTACTTGATGACGCTAGTAGCAACTAGCAAGTATTGAGTGAAGTGAATGCACTCCGCGCTGAGCGAGTTTCAACAGAGGCGCGAGGGAAAGAGAAGTTCCAGTTTATGCGTAAAAGAGAGGTAAAACTTGCGCCTGCGTCACTATATACTGCCTTTCCACGTCAAACAGTTAAAGGCTGGATTATGTTGATATATCATTAATAAATGATGTGCAATAATAGATTGAAAATGTCAAGTTTGCTAATTTAGCACGTCCGCCACTATAGCGCCGCTCCGTGTAATACCGATATGCCTCATCGGTCATCACTTCTTAGTATTCACGCTCGTTAGAAATAACGATCTCCAAAACAACGCCGATTGTAATCAAAATAGTACTACAATGATAATATTAACATGCTGCACCATACATGCATATTGCAAATTTGCAAAGACCACACGTGAATATTGTATCTCGGTTTTTTTAATTTGTTTTAGTTTCTATAAATAAATTTAAGGATGAATGGTTAGCTTTAATTGAGTTAAGTTTTTAGCAAATTGTTAGTGTATAGAGTGGTTCTGTAGCTAATGAAGTTATTTTCTAAAACGAATGGATCAAGATCCGGCTGCAAGCGAGCAAAGCTGCAAGTTCATAGCGTATTTAATCAAAATCAATTTTATATATACAATAATAAAAGGGACAATATGTTTTGACCGGGGTGCCTATTCAAATGTGCCCGCTAGTATGTTTAATTAAATAAATAATAATTGACCTTTTGGAACAAAATCGATGCACTTGTTATTAAAATGAAAGATAAAAAAAGATAGAAAAGCTATTTTAATTATAGACGGAACGAACATATATGTTGAAAAAAGTTCCAATTATTCTTATCAAAAGAAAATATACTGACTACATATAAATAATTATAGGAACCTTGAAAAGCCTTTTATGATAACTGACAGGAAGGACGTCAGGAAAATAGTGTCCAGAATTCAAGAAAAAATGTTACGACTGTAGCTATGAACAAAATAATTTAAACAGGATATGTGCCCAATTTCAAAACATAATAGTTGACACTGATAATCTTAGACAATTTCCATCTATACATATAATAAAATTCTAACTAAGCCGAATCTGTACATTAAATATTTTTTGGAAAATTTTACTAAAATATATATTATTTACGATACAGAGGCCGAATTAATAGTTTTTAGAATTTTTGTCTGTCTGTCTGTTACCGCATCACGGAAAAACCACTAAAGGGATTTTGATGAAATTTGGTATGATGGTAGCTGGTTATCCGGGTCAACATATAGGATACTTTTTAACGCGGGAATACGTCTCATTTCTAAGAAAAAATACAAAAACTGTAATGTAAGAGAACCTAAGAATTTGTTTTTTGATTATCTGAACGCGGGCGGAGCCGCGGGCAATGCTAGTATAATCCATAAATCCACATATAGAATATAATGATTTAATATTAATATTTTTAGGAGTATATCAATTAAAGCAAGCCCGCTCATATTATGGTGAACATGTTAGAGAAAATGGTTCCTATATTGTAGAAGTGTGCAGGGAGGTTGATAATGAACTAATAAGTCAATTAGAGTCTAGTTATCAAACAAATAGACTATTCACATGTTTGCTTCGGGATAAAATAAGAAGCCGCCATATCAATTACAAATCATATTTTGTTTATATTTTAATTGTCGATTATACTCATACAGGCTGAAATGCTAATAAGCAATATTGTTGCAAATATAGTGTTAGGCGCAAAACAATTAGATGCTACGCTTATGTCATGACAATAATATAGTTTTTAAGCTAGGCAAGATACCAAGCTTCCATCATGGGCCCCCCTGCTCAATTTTATAACAAAATATTTCGTATTCAAGTAAATTATTCAAAATCCGTCGGTACTTAGGTAACTACTAAAAAGTTTCTAACATTACTTAATGCAAGGAAATCCCACTGTCATACATTCGATAAATTATAACGTCAAAATACGATACCTATGTTTTTCAATTTTTTTGCCCAAGGAAGTCTGAAACTAGATTTTAATTTCAATTCACGGCTATAGTAGGGCAATCAGAAAATGTAGGGACGAAAAACTTTGATAGTGGTAGATACAATTGTGGATTGATACGAAACATGTCGAAATAGTGATTGTCTATTTATTACTTACAGGTTATTTTAAAATTTAATCTTGAGATAATCCAACATAAAACAAGAAAAAAATATTGTCCTACAAAACAGATGGCTTAGATCAAATCGTCCCCCTCTCCGAATTTGTTAAAATAACAATGTCATAAAATTTATTAATAACCGGTTGATTTTCATAGCAGTTATTATTAAAAATATACTTGGGCTCCCAAATCAACAATGACGGCAGCTATGTCTCCGAGATAAAAAGGAGAATCGGGATGGCAAGAGATGCTATGTCCCGACTAAACAACATCTGGAAGAAAAGAGCAATTGGTATCAAAACTAAGCCTAGATTGATAGGAGCACTAATTTTCCCTATCTTCCTGTATGGAATAGAAACGTGGAGAATATTGGCCCGTGAAAGGCAAAGGATTGATGCATTCGAGATGTGGTGTTGGAGACGAATGCTGAGAATATCTTGGACAGCGAAACGCACCAATGCATCGATCCTGAACCAGCTCAGTATAAAAACTCGCTTATCTACCTTATGGAGACAACGTATTCTTTCGTATTTTGGCCACACAATGCGCAGAGGCAACGAAAGTTTGGGCAAACTTATTGTAGTTGAAAATACCTAAGGCAAAAGATCGCGCGGTCGTTCTTCAACAAGATGGACCGACCAAATTAAAGACTCGTCATCGAAATTCTACACGGTGGTAAGAGACGCGCTGGACAGAAACCGGTGGAGGCAGATCATCTGCTACAGATGCAACCCTAATGACCACAATCCTCAGACATGAGGGACCGACCCCAGAGAGAGAGATTATTAAAAATGTGCATAATTAAATGGTCTCAATCACATCGTCCTACAAATAAAATGGTATGATATTTCGGTCGTACGCTCAGTAATTCTCTACTGTAGACTATATATTTAATGTTCGTGAGTTTGGCTGATAGTGATCTTTAAAGCTAGATTATTTTTATAATGATACTGAAGAGATATCGGTAAAACATCATTATTTCAATTTTTGAAATTCAAGTCGTTAGGACCGGAGCGCAATGACGGTCAGCAGATAGTAATAATAAACGATGATGAAATGATTTCAATACGTAAAATACATATTTTACCTAAAAGATATTCATAAGTTAAAATATTGTAATCTGGCACCGACTTCGAAAATATCTGATTAGGTATCTATTCTAAATGAAAACCTCCGATTAGTAGTTATTTTTTAGATTTTAGTGCGTGGAAGTCGGTTTTTTTTAAGTTTTTATTTTTCCATTTTTAGTGTAGACGTAATGAGCAGGTAATTTGTGAAAATAAACTTTTTTAATAACATATTCGAATAAGCAATTTATTAAAAAATATATTTATTTTAGATTTTTTTTTAAAAACGCTCGACGATTTCGCTAAAATTTATATGAGACCACCTGGGGAACCACCCTTTGAAAGAAAAATAATTCCAAATCGGTTCAGGCGTAATCGGTGAACATACATAAAAAAAAGATTCCGACGAATTGTGAACCTCCTCCTTTTTGAAAGACGGTTAAAAATAACTCCATTTAGTATTATCTATACGTACAGATAAATAAAATTTAAGTGTCTGTTTGTAATGTTGAAATAAAAGATTTTTTACTAAATGCATATAAAATTATGATACGATAGGTACTTGAAAAACACAATTTTTAAAATTTTTGCTCGTCTGATCTCCGAAACAACTGGATTGATTTTGAAATGGATTGATTTTTAAAACGGCAATGGCTTAAGTGCTACTTTAATTATACTACTAATATACTAAGGTACTTGCGTATTTAAACTAAATATTAATATTATTTTTTAAAATACTGCGTCTATAATAATAGACTTGGGGTCAAAAGTTCAATTCATAAATATGTCAATTTGATATAAAAAAAACTGGTGCCAAATCGACGGTAATAGCGCCATCTATGATTTTCATCACTAAATTCATCTTGACAGCTTTTGTGTATCTGTTCTGTTTATTTTGCTTGGGCGGGTGTAAACGTCAACTCAATTTGGGCGGCTTAATACTAGAGGGCAGCCTTGTGAAGATCGGGGGCGGAAGGCGGTCGGGGCCGGGGTTGCGCGCGCAAGTTACATAACGAGGACGGAGGCCGTAGGGGCGCGCGCAGCAGGCGCGGGGTGCGGGGCGATCGATGCGCGCCCGGGGGGAGTCAGTCGAGCGGCGAGCGAGCGACATGGCGGCGCGCCCACCCCGCGCGGCGGCCCCGCGGCCCGGGCCGCGCGAGTAGGTCGCCATGCGCGATGCGGTATGAGGCAGCGCCGCGCCCGGCGGGCCGGCCCCCGCTAGCGGCGCCGCCCCCGCCATGCGAGCGCCGCCGCTGCTGCTGCTGCTGCTGATGGCGGCCGCGGGCCTGGCCGTGAGTCCGCTCGCGCGCCTCAACCCCTGGCTGAGCGCGTGCGACCTGGAGGAGGAGGGCGCGAGCACCGAGTGCGAGCGCGAGCGGCTCGGCGCGTGCGGCGGCAGCGGCGCCGGCACGCTGGCGGGGCGCGACGTGCGACCGCTGTGCGCGCTGGGGGCGGGCGCGCGCGCGCGGCGCCTGGCCGAGCTGCGGCTGCGCGCGTGCTGCGAGCGCTCGCCCGCTTCCGCGCTTGACCGCAGCGCGCGCGCCGCCGTGCTGGCCGGCGGGGAGCGCTGCGAGCGCACGCTGCGCGACCTGCTCGCCCTTGACGCGATGGTCGCGCGCGTGCACTGCGACTTCGCCACCATCCTTGAGCGCTACGACTGCGACCAGTCCTACTCTGTACACACGTGTAACGAGTGCCAGGTGAGTGCGCGACGATGCTCCTAGTTGGTATTCATATGATATCGTCACAAGGATTTGTATTTCCGCAGCTTGGATGTTGTGTGAAGTGGTCTAAAACTATAACTCAAATTGCACTTCTTCGAAGTATCTTTTTCTCAAACATTTTAACTTATACATGAGTTAAGAATCGAATATATAAAATAGTCGAATAATTTAGTTAAAAGTTAAATAAATATGCTTTTAATCAACTATGTATATATCGTATAATAAGGGCTCGTCATAACGATTTAAATGAACCTAAAGTCGAAGGTTTTTCTAGTAGCCACTGAAGAGTTCTACTATCCACCAAATGGCTCCATCATTAGATGAGCTCGATAGTATCAAATTAGTGTATTATCACTAGGACCTTATATACTGACATAGTTTGAAATCGATGCGAACATTAGATAGATACTTCTTAGATTTTAAAATCGTGTTTCAAGATTTTGTTACATAGTTACAAATGAAGATAATAATAAAAGCGGTCTATTAAAACGAAAAATATTAAATTTGAAAAGATACTAGGAGTTGGTTGTACCGCCGCACGGGTAAACCGTGTGACCCGCATCGCTGGTTTGACGATTATATGCGTGTATCGATCCATTTGAGCTAACCACGCTTCTTAACCTCACTTACCTATATTGAACTACAAAGTATACATCGAAATTCGAAAATATTATGATTTTGTGAATTGCCAAATCCCTAATATTATAAGAAGTTTACCATAAACACAAAACAATAAACCTTAAAGCTTTTATCATAGCAGCAATAATAATCTACTATACATACTAAACACAAAACAATAATTATGTATCTCCTCATCATGTCCAAGGTCTAACATCTGTCTTGTTTAAAACTTAAATGCTCTGAGAGTCTTCATTGACTTCTCTCAAGTCCTTATAATAACTAATAGACTGTATTAAGTACTTGAAAACATCCAAAACGTGTAACAAGTCAGCCAGTAACTTATATCATTAATATCAGAAGTGTAGTTTTGGTTTTTATAACACTTTCCGTTCGTATTAGCTATTGTTATACTTATTAGTTGACAAAAAATATACCCCGATTTAGGTCAAAGTGTAAAGTTTATGAGTAAAATTATAATTGCCAGGTATCGTATAAGTTGTAAGTAATGAATATGAAACCAGGTCCCTTAGGGAGATATTATGGAAAAGAACTAGGGGTCGGGTCGGGCGGAATTTAATAAATTACACATCTCTGCCAATGACAGGTGAAAACATCCATACTAATATTATAAATATGAAAGTGTGTTTGTTTGTTTGTCTGACCTTCTTTCACATCGTAACGGAGTGACGGATTGGTGTGATGTTTTGTGTGAAGAAAGTTGAAGGGCTGGAGAGTGACATAGGCTTTTTAACGCAAGAGTATCTAGTTCCCACGGGAAAACACGTTATAACACAATCCATAAAAATATTTATGATCAGAATTACTTGAAACTTGGTATTAATGCTCTTCAATAAAATTAAATAAATACGTGTTTTAGCATTTTTCGAAATTCATCCTATAAGGGGGTAAAATAGGAGATAAAATTTGTATGAAACTACCTTTTTAGAGTTTTCTCGTAGTTTTAGCGCGAGCGAAGCCGCAGGTTCTGCTAGTTTGGTATAATTTGAGGTAACTAGCCTAGCACATATAAATTCTTTTATATTTTTTTACAATATGGTCAAATGTTACGTTCACCTTCCTTATTGTCTTATAAAATTTATTCAATTTTAAAGTATGTAATAAATGTTGTTAATATGTACCTAACAAAGGCATGACTGTATATTTAATTACTTTAGCATACTAATCATTGTACTATTAAAATACATAATGGTTACTATCAAAACACATAAAGTATACATATTCGAAATATTAAGTGTATTTTTTCACACTCTACAATTAATTTTATATTGTATACTTCCAGTATAATTCTAGAAACTTTAAGTAAATAACAATGCTCCAACTATTTCTGACGGCCAATTGAAAAAATCTTTACTCATATTGGGTGAGTAGTTGTTAAGTTATTTCTTTAAAATGTTTACAAAAGTAGGTCAAACTAGAGAAGAAAATATATTATTTGTGAAATTTATTTTGCTTGGAAGTTTATTATATAATGTTGGAGGAAACAAATAATTTTGGAAGATAATATTTATTTAGTGCTCAAGCTTCAGTGATTTTTTTTATAAAGTATTACTTTCAACTTAACTGTCCGCAAAATAGACACAATAATTAAATAATCGAAATGTTCATATATGACTCATGGGATAGGGAAATGGTTGAGTGTTTCATGGGTAAAATTTTCCTTATTTTAATATCTACACCGTGGAAATTCTATATATAACCAATTACCATTGTCTCTCTTACTCAAATTCATCAACGAAGCCCCCTTAAAATCACAGAACACTTTTACTCAGAGAGCTTAAAATCTGCTCAGCCACTCCGGAATAGGAGTGAGTACGAGTAGGTTTCAGCTTTGATGTCGTGAAAAATTGCTTATTATTTTGAAATTAGTCTCCTTAAAATAAAGATGATATAAGATGACACAGAGTTTATATTTGAATACATAATATTACTAACTTACTCATTTTATAATTATTACTTGAAATTTTTTTATGAAACACTAATATCAAAATTTTCGAAGTAGGAAGGTGATGAGACTATAAGGTGTAACAAAATAATATAACGAGCAAACAGCCGGGTGAAGTCACGGTAGGCTGTAAATATAGAGTAAAGAGACAATATATCACAAATTGTAATATATCACTTACGATGTATACTCGTATATATACGAAAACAATTTTTATGTTTCTATGGTAACGCGGGTTCTATTAAAAATTGTATAAATGAACTTATACATCACTAGCATTGCCCGCGGCTCCGCCCGCGTTCAGATGACCAAAAACCAAATTCTTAGGTTTTATATATTAATTACTCTTACATTGCAGTTTTTGTATTTTTTCTCAGAAATGAGATATTCTCCCGAGGTAAAAAGTATCCTATATGTTGACCCGGATAACCAGCTATCACCATACCAAATTTCGTCAAAATTCCTCCAGTGGTTTTTCTGTGATGCGGTAACAGACAGACAGACAGACAGACAGACAGACAAAAATTCTAAAAACTATAAATTTTGTTTCTGTATCGATAATAATTTTTATTTCAATAAGATTTTCCAAAAATATTTAATGTACAGATTCGACTTAGTTACAATTTTATTATATGTATAGATAAAGGATATTTTTATTCTTGAAAATGTGAAGTTTCTTCATATCTGCACGGAGTGGTATAAGAAATCTCATTTTTGTTCATTTGATAGTAGAATTACTTGTTTCACTCTTAGGGGTAGAACTTTGCTTGTAATGGATAGCCCGTATGAATAAAAAATACCATTAACATATATGTACATAAAAAAGAAAAAAACGTATACCCGAATTATGTTGCTTCCTCTATTTCTGAAGACGGTCATATCATATAGACGGTCATATATCATACCTACAAAACACCTTGACCTAAAACTTAATTATGATAATAAACGAAGAAACAAAAATATCAATAGTACTTTCAGTAAAACCTATCTAGTGCTCAAGCTTCAGTGATCCTATATATTGTCCGAATTACACGGCCGCTCATAAACAATTTGTAATTTATAAACGAAATTTTATAACAATTTGTATTTTTAAGAGGACTTTAAAATGTATATTTATGAAATATGATCTGAAAAATCAATAAAATACAAAAAGAGCAAAAGAATAAGACAACGCCAAGGAATTTCTGTATTTTAGAAAATCATTGAAAAAGTCCGGACAGACTCATTCATCAACGTATAACCCAAGACCATTAGTTGTAGAAGAGTGGAATTTTGGTGGATATTTCTTAATGGTGGTGCAGGTTTTTTGGAAAACTTTCAACAATTTTAGTTTCTTTCCTATAATTATATTAAACGAATGTAAATTCGTCAAACTAAAATATTTTTACTATATTATATATTTACTATTTTTATCTACAAAAAATCAATCATTTTATTTTTTACAGTAATATAATATCACTAGCATTGCCCGCGGCTCCGCCCACGTTCAGATGACCAAAAACCAAATTCTTAGGCTTTACATATTGGTATACTCTAACAATGAAGTTTTTGTATTGTTTCTCAGAAATGAGACATTTTACCGCGGTAAAAAGTATCCTATATGTTGACCCGAATAACCAGCTATCATCATACCAAATTTCATCAAAATCTGTCCAGTGGTTTTCTCGTGATGCGGTAACAGAGAGACAGACAAAAAGACAGACAGACAAAAGTTCTAAAAACTATAGATTCGGACTCTGTATCGATAATAATGTCTATTTCAATAAGATTTTCAAAAAAATATTTAATGTACAGATTCGGCTTAGTTACAATTTTATTATATATATAGATAGATTACTAACAAGACTATTACCATTGCGTAGAAATGATATTATGTATAATATACTCGAAACTTTGGTGTACAAACTGTGTCTGAAGCTGTTAAACTCTTTCATACCAACTATGTCTGCTATACTACGGTAATATATGCATTACATTACCGTGGCTATACACTTGCATTACATGCGGATCTGACAATGTTTACCTTGGACCTACATATATTATTAGCTGAACCCGCGGCTTCGCTCGCGCTAAAACTACAAAAAAAAAACTTTCATCCCCTATTTTACCCCCTTATGGGATGAATTTCGAAAAATGCTAAAATACATATTTATTTAATTTTAACGAGGAGCATTAATATCAAGTAACAAGTAATTCTGATCATAAATAATATTTGGGTTGTATTATAACGTCTTTTCTCGTGATAATGAGATCTCGCGCGGTTAAAAGTAGCCTATGTTAATTTCCAGCTCTCCAACTATCTCCATACAAAAAATAACGGCAATCCGTCACTCT